ACGCACGCACGCACGCACGCACGCACGCACGCACGCACGCACGCACGCACGCACGCACGCACGCACGCACGCACGCACGCTCGCACGCACGCTCGCCCGCACGCACGCACGCACGCACGCACGCACGCACGCACGCACGCACGCACGCACGCACGCACGCACGCACGCACGCACGCACGCACGCACGCACGCACGCACGCACGCACGCACGCACGCACGCACGGCACGCACGCACGCACGCACGCACGCACGCACGCACGCACGCACGCACGCACGCACGCACGCACGCACGCACGCACGCACGCACGCACGCACCCACACGCACGCACGCACGCACCCACACGCACGCACCCGCACGCACGCACGCACCCGCACGCACGCACGCACCCACACGCACGCACGCACCCACACGCACGCACGCACCCGCACGCACGCACGCACGCACGCACGCACGCACGCACGCACGCACGCACACACGCACACACGCACACACGCACACGCCCAAGAAAAATAACACACGCACGCACGCACGCACGCCACGCACCGCACGCACGCACGCCACACGACGCTCACACGCACACCGCAACAAAAGCACACGCAACACCCACGCCACCCACCCCCCCACCCACACACACACACACACACACACACACACACACACACACACACACACACACACACACACACACACACACACACACACACACACACACACACACACACACACACACACACACACACACACACACACACACACACACACACTCATGCGCCCACAGACGCACAGACGCACAGACGCACAGACGCACAGACGCACAGACACAGGCACGCACGCACGCACGCACAATTTGAGAGCAAGCTCCTGCACTCCAGCAGCGAACTTTGGTTATGATCTCTTTTTCCATGGTGAACATCGATGACGATTTTCACTGGGCCCGAGTCCACTCCACAGTTCGGAGCGATCGAAATCATTCCGGGTAGCCAAGGGTGGAACTGGCTGAGAAACGCACGGGTTGTCCGCAAACGTGGATCCACTCCCTTGTTCGTAGGTTGGAAGCAAGCGCAAACGGAAGCCAGCCAATTTCAGGGGTCTTCTGTTCTCTTGGTGTTTCCCAGCCATCTGTTTAGGTTTTTGGCTCTTCGTGAGTCTGCGATCCTTCCATTCTTGGGGGGGAGGAATTTTCGCTCAAGTGGCCACCTTATGGCTCTTGCTTCCCTGGCGGACTGGCGCAAGGTTGAGCATTGTCCCAGTCGGTCGTTGGAGGCGTCTGACCAGGGTGAGAGACAGTTCGCGCTTGCGAGCCAAGTCTTCTCCAACAGACTTGTCCAGCGAAGAGCCACACACTTGTGTTCAGGCCTTGGCTTTGGGTAGACTTCTATTTTGGATAGCTGTGCTTGGATGTTTTTCCAGACGACCTCGCCGCGGAGCATCTCCAGAACAAGAAGGACCAGGCCCACGCAACCTCCACGAAGCTCAGAAAGAGGCTCCTCAGCAGACAGTGGCTGGGGTGTGAAACGAATGCAGTGTTGCAGATGCTTGAAGCAATGTTGTCTTGGAGAATGTGCGTGATTGGGTGAGCGTCAGCATTCGTTCGGGCACATGTGCAGCTGAGTCGTGCCACTTTCCAGAGTGGCTCATCACGGCGGGCCAGCGGGTTACCAACCTGCAGGCCAGACGCTCTCAGAAGGATTGGCTCTAGTTTGCGTGCAGTGGGAGCCTGCCAAGGACGCAGCGCGCAGAGCTAAAGAAAACACACACACACACACACACACACACACACGGAGCCCTGTTGGCATGGAGCCTCTCTGGGCCAGTGGACTCTGGACTCCTCGGAATAGCAGACGGAGGAGGCCAAGGACGCCGCTGCGGAGAAGGCGCAGTTCAGCCCTGTGCCCGAAGTTATTCCCAGTCAGGAAAAGGGTTTTGCAGATCATTCGAGATATATTTTGCTGGAGTGACATGGGTTGGGTTCTGTTTCACACGCAAACACATTGAGACATAGTGACATTGCAAATGCCGAAGCAATCTACGGAAGCAGTTGTGAAATTCGGCAACAAAGCGGAAAGTGACTGCCCTTCGGCGTTGCTTGCAAGAGTTTATTGATACCCTATCATCTGTGCAATTTCCAGCTGCATCTGCAGCCTCAGATGCTTTGCTGCAAGCGCTTTGGGATGACTTTGAAGCTGTCGGTTCTTCGCCAAGACGTTGCCCAGAATTTAAGAAAAAGACTGTTCGGCAGCTGCAAAAGCAGAATCAGAAATTGAAGAAGAAAGTGGAGCGGTTGCAGAGAGAGCCTCTGACAGGCAAAATGGTCGGGTTGCTGCAATGTGGTACATTCGCACTGCTTTTTTGCAGATCCTATAGTACCCTTGCAGTCGCTCGCCTCTTGGTGTGCGATTTTTTACGAAAGAAGTTGGGGCAATATCAAGAACTTTGTATTGCAACTGCCAAAGATGCAATGTGTGAGCTTGGAAAGCGGCTGAACTGCGAGGAGATTTCGCCAATTCCGGAGTATGTTCAGAGACCATTTTTGTACGGCGTGTCCACGACGAGGCTTTGAGACGGCTCAGGCAGGGCGCTCCAAGCCACGTTCATTGTTGAAGAAGCCCATTCCACGTTTAATTTTGTGTTGCTTTTTTTGGGCAGAGATGCAGTTTTTAGGTGCGAAAGGGAGGCCGCGCCAGTTAGCGTGTTGAGCGATGTCCCTTCGCACCAACGTCCTTGCTGCCGCTGCTGCTGCTGCTTCCTCCAGGATCAGGTAGATCTTGGCTCATCATCACGTCCACCCAATCCTTAATCTCTTTCCTCAGGCCGGCCGCCTTCTCCTCAACCTCCCTCTGTCTCAGTCCTGCAGCGCTGAACCCGAGAGCCGCTGCCTCTTGGCCTTATGCCATTCCCACCTTCGGAAATCCTCCGCCTCTACCTGCTCCAGCTGCACGCATTCCCATGAGTAACTGCTCGGCCTCCTTTCCTGATGGCCTCGAAGCCTTTGCATCCTGCCGTGCAGCCATACTTCTCCACATCCTCCTTGCGGACATAGAAAGACCGTCGCGAGATTTAGGCTAGGGGGCGCCAACCTTGGCGCTCTCTCCTCACCTCCTCCTTCAGCTTCTGCTCATTGAGAGCGACCTCGGACGTCCCAAGGAAAACGTCCAACCTCTTCACCGCCATCCCATACTTGACACCGTCCGTGCTGAGCCCGATGACCGAGTTGTTCGCGCATGATGGCCCACAAACCTCACTTCAATGAGCTTCTGCTCCCAATCTCTCTTTGGCTTTCCATTGCGCTCCACGGCCTCCTTGATGAAGACCTTCTGACCGAGCTCCGGCGCCGGGCGACTCCACCAACTGCCAAGTCTTCCCATCTTCTTCTCTCTTGTACACATTCAAGACCTCAGCTGAAAAAGATGGCATCCACGGCAATATGGGGTGGCCATTCCTCACCTTCTGCCCCAGCTTACGCTCCAGGCCAGCCTATAATCCCCTCACCGCAGACTCGATCAAACCGTTGGCCTGATGGTCTCCAACAGGGCAAGTCCTCGGGACACATTCAACTTCCTTCAGCAACCTCCTGCTCGCCTCCTCCTTGAGCCTAACGAGGGCTGCTTCGTTGTCACTAAAATTCATAAATTTCTTCGTTTCGGTCTGTTCTAGAAACTTTGCGAAGACCTTGACGGATTGTGAGCTCTTGAGGATCAGCATCGGGGCCGGTTCCTCATCTGTGCTCATGAAGAAAAATAGGAGAAACTCCATCTCATCTTTTTCCGCTGCTGCCTTCTTCAAGAATCTGTCCTGCTGGCCGCAACGCACACCTCACACCAGCTGCGGTAAACTCCATGGTTCTGCAGCTCATGATCTTCCTCTCGGCATCCTCACTGCTAATCCTTTACCATCTCATTGGGCTCCTCCTCTCCAGCGAGCTCCTCATTCTCATCTTTTTTGAGGCCTCGCCATTCTCCATCCTCACCTGCCAGTCTTACGGGCTGACCTGCCAGCAGTTTCCCGAACTCGGGGCGCTCACGGCACTCATCCCCCGAAGATGGACAGTGCTCCACATCCACTATAAGACAACTGGGCGTTGTACGTGTTTCTTTTCCCACAAACAACTACACCTTGGACAAGACCACTGCTTCGAAAGATGCAGACCTTCTCCTGACCAGTGACGCGGACGCGGAAGTAAAAAGGTCAACCCAGGAACTTGAAGCTCGCCCGGCCAAGAGAAAGACGCGGCAAAGCCCATCAACACCGCCGAGAGCGCCCATAATCATTTCGCAGGGGACGACCTTGATGGGTTGTGACACCTCGCCCGTGGATCGAGCCAAAAGAGTTCTTCTTGCACGGGAGCTGGGCCTTAGCTTTCCCAAGCTTTACAAAAAGTAGCTAGCGGAAGGGTTGAAGCAACCGACGTGGGGCAACAAAGCAATCGCGCCCTACATAGTTTGATATGTTCCCACGTTGAGAAATACACCTTGTGGCGGTTCCTTGTTTTCGCCAAGCTAAGCCGCTTTTCACCGCTAGTTACCGCTAATTGTCGCTGATAGGAACTACCTAAGACCCCTGCAAGCCTCCAACACTTGCCGGGTACCAGCTGAAAAGACAGGGCAGCGGCGGAGTTGTCTGAGGCCCACAACCTCCGATCAGGCAAGGTGGCAGGAGGTGGTGGTCCTCACATTTCAAGGTCTGCGGTTGTCGGCCGGCAGAAATTCCGGGTCAACCCATCAAAGATTTCCTGCGGGTCATGGACTCTATGATACTCAAACAAGCTGGTCATGGTGCTGGTGGTTGCTTGAAGGCAGGACAAGGTGCAGGTTTGGTTGGGTACGTTTGACGTTGCAGCAGTGGACTGGGCCCCTTCCTGGCACACACCGAGACTGCGAATCGCTGGGCTGGCCTGCTCCGGCATTGCCCGACATTGACTTCTGTCACTTTTTTTGCTGTGGATTTCCGTGATCCGCGCCAGGTGTGGCAGGGATTCGGCGACATTTGCTTTAGAGTGAGAACTGCCCTCCATTCAGAAAACTGACCCTGCCTCCTGCCTCTGGGTGGTTCGTTGCACTGCCTGCCCTCATTTTTGGAATATTTTGCCACTTTCTCGGTCTCGGAAAGATGGAGCATGCTCATGTTCAACTGGCTGCACCGCGACTTTAGTGTTCAGTGGGGATTTCCACTTTGCCCACTAAGAGTTAAAGTTTTAGCGGGGGATCTGATGGGCCTGCTAATGGCTGGGAAAATCAGTTCTGAGTAATCGAGAGCTGAGGATATAGGGCTTAGGGCTAACCCTGAAGGATGGGGCAGGATTCCTGAAGAGCCGCCATTGGGCTTTGATACAGCGGCCTTGATAAAATAGCCATTGGGCTGTCCTTGGTAAAGTGGAAGAGTGGCCAAAACCTTCTGCGACCGGTATGTTTTTTGGAGTTCCGAGCTTTGGCTCGCTCTAGTTTCAGGGGAACCACTGGGCAGACGTTTTTTGAGACGTCTGGCAATAGGGTGAAAATAAGCTGTATTTCCAAGCAGACACTCGTGGGCTTGGGCCCCCAGTGGCGACGGGTTGCGGGGTTGGTCGTCTTCGTCTGTGCGAAGGAACCTGTTACCTCGAGGATGAATAAGTGGCAGACCTCTGGCTCATTCAGGTGTCTTTCTTTCATTCAGCTTTTGTGTTTCGCTCAGAACGGAATCCTTAGAAGATTACGTATCTTGAAGGCACGTCTAGCCTTTGATCCTTAGCCCCTAATGTTGACGCAGGAGCATGCTCCCGGTTGATCACGAGGGTGTCCCATTTTAGAGGGGATCCAGATCACATTTCGGGTTCACCCGGGCTTGACATTTGGTCTCGTCTAAACTATCGGATTTTCCATTTGCCACCAAAGGCGATCCCTGGAAGGCCTCTCCTGTTGGCTGCAGCCGCTTGGCCTGACATCAGACCCGGACTAGCCCAGGAACAGTGCGTATGGCTCGACTGATCCGGGACGCTAAGACAAAAGCAAAAGCGGCTGCCTATGCTGACGTCTACTATAAGGGCCGTAGTGAGAATGGGTTTACGTGGTACTCCAAAACCAGCTTTATTCATGATCATAGCACAGCAATGTGTGTCATTGACTGGTTGTTGGGCCACCTGTTTAGTCTCACCCACCCCCCAAACCACCTCGAGCCATGTCTCCGCAGCTGGGCGAAAGCCGAAACGGGCGCACGCGCGCCTGGCGACTCAAAGGGGATGGATCTTGTCCACTTGCAGCAGGGGTTCCCGCGATGTTGGACCACTAAAACTGGGAACCCGACCCATGTTTAGGGATCCGTTGAGAAAAACAGCAACATGATATTTAGAAATATACATGCAAATGCGCGTATATATATATATATACACGTCTATATACATATATATATATATGCATACATATATATATATATATACATACATATGATACGTGTATTTTGGAGTGGGAGGTTATGCCAGTCTTAATGCAGCTACTTTGTGGGGAGATACGGCTTACATGATGCTGTCAGGTTTGGGCTCTATGTTTGTGAGTGCGGGCGGCCAGCCGCCTGTGGCATACATGTTTTCTTGCGAGTTGATCAATCTTCCTGACCCCCAGATGACCAAGGGTGGCTTTTTCCATTCAGCAAGACATATCATATTTTTAGTGGCTTTCCCCAATGGTCATCCCATGTAACGGACCTTTTGATCAACCCCGACATTTCACCTCTGCAGTATTGTTTTCATGCTCCAAGACTTTATCATGCACCATTGGCACTTGAACTGTGTATAGACTCCTGTGAGAATCCCGCGTGGACGACCTTGCTCGGCTCCAACAAATAAGCTTGAGGGGCAAATTGATGGAGCATGGGTGGCTGTTTGAGTGGCATGGAGGCCGAGACTAGATACGACTGTCCAATTCGTATAAACAAGTAGGTGATTGACTTACTTGGGATTGGCAGAGTTAATAGGCAGTTTAGCTTTTTGTGTTCGATCTACCATGAATGGGGATGTTTGTTTTGCATTGCATGTTGTCTGTCCAAAGCTTGGTTTCCTTGTTCCCTGCGACTTTCCTAATCCTTTGCCCGGCCTTACGGGTCTCCGGATCAAAGCCAAAGGCAGGCTGGCCGCACGTGGTTCCAGAGTACTTTGATGAAGAAAGCACACTCCACGTCATTTGGCCACTGCTCGGCCTTGTTTCCCAACTCAGCGATCTTGATGTGTTGATGTGCTGACGCAAACGTGGTTTGTCCATAGCTTCTGATTGTTTTCCTTCAGGACCTTTCGATTCGACGGGAACTCACACACGTCAATTTTGCGCGCCATGCGGGTATGAAGCTGAGTGTTGTCTTGGTCAGCGGGCGCACTGTCTCCATCGCACTCTCACCTGAGTCGAGCGTCAGTGAGCTGCAAGCAGCAGCGCAGCAGCATTTCCAGCGCCCGTTTCTGACTCTGCTGTTCAACGGCCAGCAGCTGGACCCGTCCTCAACTTTGGCAAAGGCGGGGTTGCGAGATGGGGATTCGGTCCAAGCCGTTGCACAGGGTGTGAGACTGGCTGCCTCGAGTGGGGCATTTGCTCATTTTGCTCCCGGGCACAAGTGCGAGACTTGGGGCCATCTAGGCTTTGGTGGTGAAAGTAGCGAGGTGAGAGATCAGCTGGCACGAGTCCAACAGATCCAATCAAATGGCGGTGCCTTTGCGGCCATCAAGAGCGACAGCTCCGTGGTGACTTGGGGCCTTCCTGTCTTTGGCGGTGACAGCAGCCAGGTGCAAGAGCAGTTGGTGCAAGTTCGGCAGATCCAAGCGACCAGGTATGCGTTCGCCGCTATCCGGGACGATGGCTCCGTGGTGACTTGGGGCAAGCCAGACTGTGGTGGTGACAGCAGCCAGGTGCAAAAGCAATTGACACGTGTCCTGCAGATCCAAGCGACAGACAGCGCTTTTGCTGCCATCCGGGAGGATGGCTTTGTGGTGACCTGGGGTGATGCCTATTTTGGTGTTGCTGATATGGGTGGTGACAGCAGCCAGGTACAAGAGCGGCTGACGCGGGTTCAGCAGATACAAGCTTCCGAGGGCGCCTTTGCTGCCATTTGCGAGGATGGCTCTGTTGTGACGTGGGGCTTTCCTGAATATGGCGGTGACAGCAGCCAGGTGCAGGAAGAGTTGGTGCATGTTCGGCAGATCCAAGCGACTGAGGGAGCTTTCGCTGCCATTTGCAAAGATGGCAGGGTGGTGACGTGGACACGTGAGGAGTTTGGCGGTGACAGCAGCCAAGTGCAAGAGCAACTAACGTCGGTTCAGCAGATCCAAGCGACTGATGGCGCGTTCGCCGCCATCCGGGAAGATGGCTCTGTGGTGAGTTGGGGTCATTGGCTCTTTGGCGCTGACAGCAGCCAGGTGAGAGAGCAGTTGATGCGGATCCAGCACATCCAAGCAAACCGTTGCGCTTTTGCTGCCATTCGGGATGATGGCTCTGTGGTGACTTGGGGCAAATCGGACTGTGGCGGTGACAGCAGCCAGGCGCAAGATCAGTTGGTGCAAGTTCGGCAGATCCAAGCAACAAAGTATGCGTTTGCTGCCATCCGGGACGATGGCTCCGTGGTGACTTGGGGCAAGCCAGACTGCGGCGGTGACTGCAGCCAGGTTCAAGAGCAACTGACAAGAGGTGTCCTGCAGATCCAAGCAACAGATAGCGCTTTTGCGGCCATTCGGGAGGATGGCTCTGTGGTGACCTGGGGCGATCTGGGAAGAGTTGCTAGACACACGCCAGATGCAAGAGTGACTGGTTTAGATGCAAGCTGTTTCTGTTGCTCACATTTTGCCCGATGGCTGTGCAACACTGAGTGCAAGAAGATTGGATCGCGACTGGAGCAAAGCCAATGCTTTTGCTTTCGCCACCTGGGAGCCTGTGCTTACCTGAGGCGATGGCTGCAGAAGCATGAAGACCTTTAAGGTGGCTCGACAGCCAAAGTGCTCTGGGCGAAGTCAAGCAGAGCGCCGCATAAGGAACGGTCGCTTGACGGTGCTTGAGCTGCGCATGGGTAGGCCCGTCATTAGACATCTTTACTTCTGGGTAGACAGGTTCTGATTGTGCCCCATGTGGCCTTTGTCGAGTCAGGTGTGCGAGATGCCTTGCCTATAAGCAAGGCCAGTTATTTGTCTTCAGTGATGCCGTGTTGGCGAAGCGAACCATGTACCGAGATCTGACATGATATTTGTTGGGGCGAGCGTGCTGTCTCATGCATGTAAGATGGATCCGCTTCGTTAACCCATGCCCGGCTCCCAACAAGGCGGGTTTCTCAAAATAGTGGTCCCCCTCAAAATGGTTGCTTCCCTTTCGGTTTGTCTTTAAACATTCAGCACGATATAAGTTATGATATAAGTGTGAGGGCAAACTCGTCTGGTTGTGTGAGAGCAGAAGGCTAGAGACGGATGCGCGATGGCAACACCTACCCCTGCGCCGAGTCCCTGCATTTTTGCACAGATTGGTAGGTGAAATGGTCCTTGATCTCATGACTTGACCATCTTCCATTTGCTTAAGAACATTTTAGTAATTTTCCCCTGTTGGTTTCAAAGGGAATCTATCACTACTGGACATCTTTTTTTTCATTTTTTCCAGGAACCTTAAGCAATTGGCAGCCATGTGAGCCGCAATCAAAACCGTAAGGTTGGCGACGCTCGCAAGCTGTGGGGAGGCCACCCTTTGCTCGGCATTGCGACGGGAGAGGCGAACCGGGAAGCTCCCAGAGCACTGGAATTGGAACCAAAGGTAAGGGTCTTCTGGGAGCTTTCATGGAGGGCACCCAAAATCAATGTGATGTTGATTCTGTCTCAATGCGATGAGCGTCCTTTCCCTTCGATCGAATCATTGTCCCAAGCGATTCCACGACTCTGGGGACAAGGCAGTGCATTTACTTGAAACTGGATGTTTGGATACTGCAATGTTTGTTTCTGAGTCTCAAGATAAGTCCCTGAGCATATGCAAAGCCTAAGAAAACGCCGAGAAATCCTTCATACTTAGCTGCTATTTGGTTGGTTTCAAGACCTTAACAACTTAAAACACGACTTGTCCTACAGCAAAAAGCTCAAGAGCTAAAGTCTGGCACCGGCGGAACGGACCATAGCCACGCGGGCGATGCGGCTCCCGCGAGAAGCTTACAGTACACGCGGCTTGAGCTCTCCATCCGGTTTGTCTGAGGTCAACCTGGCGAAAAAGCCCCCGAGGCGCGTCTGTCGTGCAGCTTGTTTCACAAGCTCACCGGTTCGAGAGGCCAAAAACGACCCAAAGCCCATGATGACTTGGGGATTCCGAAATCCTGTGTCCTGCCTGTGGGAAAAAGTTAGTTGCCCGAGATAGGCATCCTTCCAGGTTCAGTTCTGGTGAACATTGACGGATTCGACTGGTTTCAGCTGTTTTCATGCACCGATACCATTAGCATGTCTTGGGTACGAGCCGGCGTCTACTGCCTGGAGGTTGGCTCCAATTTGCTCAAATGCTAGGTTACTGTTATTTGCTGAGCACAGTTCTGTGTTGGTTTAGCGAGGATGTGTCACTACTGGACATATTTTGTTTTCTCCAGGAGACTTACCCTCCCATCCACTAACATGGAACCTCACAAGGGGTTTTTGCAAGACAAGTTTCCTCTTGAAGGGACCCCCTGTCAGGTGCTATATTTGTGGGAGAGAGGGAGGATGGGAAGCTTGGACAGGCCCCCGAGCACCATCGCAATCATACGAGGCATTGCTCATTTGCTTTTGGAGCATTGAGTGCCAGCAGCAGCTTTTGAGCGGCCAGATTTGCGCATACAAGTGCCAGTTGCCGTCTCTCTTTTGCAGCGGTGTTGTCGCACGTCTTGAGGTCTGCCAGAACCAAATAATTACGGTACACCTCATGCCGAGCGGCCTTGATCATGGCGTACCTTCCGTGCTACCCTGCAACAAGGGCTGCGTTTACAGACTTCTCAAGAAGTCACGATTCTCTGTCAGAGGGCCCAACAAATATAGACCCTTCTGTCCGGGGTGTTTAAGAGGCCTCACTACATTTACCCTCCCACCAAGCAGGGAAGTGCAGAGGCGCCTTGTGGAAGACTAGGCGCCTTTTGGAAAGGCTTCTAGCCTTCCATGACCCACTGACATCAAGGGTAGCCTTTTTGTGGACAGCCGACTTGACCACCCAAAGATGCCTTCGGAACAGGTTGGCCACTCTGAATGGAAGTAGCCCCATAGAGCCTTCCCAGAACCAGTCCGGGACCCAACCAGCGAATTGACCCCATAGCTGTCTGGTGGGGGTTGGGGTTTGCCGCTTTTTCCTTCCAAGCCGCTTGCGCAGCGTTGAATTTATTGAGCTCGGAACCTCCAGTTTCCGCGTCCCTAGCTCCGCCGGGGAGCCTGTCGCTTTCAACTTGAAGGCTAGTTTCGACTGGAGGTGAGTCAAATCAAAACCGATCGTGTTAACCTGGTGTACCCAGAACCCATGTGCGAAGTTGAAATGGCGGCGCAGGTTTTATGCAAGGGGATCACCCCTCAACCTTCATCCACCCGCGTTTGAGGACGTGCAAGCCACAGAGGCCGCCATGGAAAGTACGCGTCTTGGGGATTCGCATCCTGATTGACGAATCTTTCTGCAGATGTCTGCTGTGGATGGACGAAGTCCTGCACCACTCTGAAACCATGAGACACCATTGTTTGTATCTGCAGGGGGAATCATCATTCCAGGGTTTCTTCGGTGCTACATGTTCTTGCCACGTGTGAAATATGGTTTTGCGCAGAAACTCTGGATCCGCTTCGGGGGCAACACATGTAAGGCTTGGCCTATGCAAGCTGGGTTGGGTTTGGTATGCCTATTGGCAGATTTTATTCGACGTTGGAATCCCCGGTCTATTGCCCAGGCTCATACTTTCTTAAATGGCCCTCCCACATCCACCCCCCAAATCCCCATAGTTACATACACCCAAAATAGTGAGAGGAGTCAGGGCGCTCGTCTGAGACGGGAGGCTCAAGAAACAAGTGAAATTGGCAAAAGGATAGCTTTGTCCCATGGGTTTCAGGCTGCTTGGCGCCCTTCGACATAGGACAACCCAAAGGCCCGAAGCCTTCCACTCCGATTAAAACGCCATGCGGGCGGCTTTTTCTCTGGCCCAGGTAAGAGTTATGGCGACAAAGGATGAAGGCCAAATCCAAGGAGGAGAGGGGGGGATTGAGAAACTCAGCTTCCCTTTAAATGGTGGTTTGGAGCCGAATCGGTGGTTTGATCTTCCTTGGGGGCTTCCCATGAGAATCAGGGGTTCAAATCCCAAGCCAACTAAGGGTCCAAGGAGAACACTGCGGCATTTGCTTCATCACATTCGTCGCATTGTTGCATAAAATTTGTGAGCCACTTTGAGACAAGGGATTCATAACAGTGCAGCACCACCATGTTTTTCCCTTTACGCCAGTGGCGTGCAGTTGCCCGTGTTGGGAATGAACGCGAATGTGTGCCCCACGGAGAGGGGGACATGATCTCACTCCCTGAAATGTACAATACTTTCTGGGAAGACACATGTCAGTGGGTACCAAGTTCAGTCCTTTTCAGCCGATCCCACTCAGGAAGCGAGCGATGCTTGTTGCCCTTTGCGGTCGCGTAGGGGTCATTCATATTCAGTGAATTGGGAGTGCCAACCTGCAGTCTTTTTGCAGCTGAGGTCAAGCAGTCTAGGCGGAGCCTATCGCCTTGTCTTTGAAGGGTCTATCAGACTCATCTTTCCTTTCTTGAAAGCACCAGCCATGGGCCTTTTTGCTGTGTTCGTTCTCCTTGGCGCAGCCAACGCGGCGGTACACAGTGGCTATTTGTACGACAAGCTTTGTGTGGATCGGGGTGTGGGCATCGATGGCGTGGACACCCGGACAGAGCCGGAAAGGCACACGGTGCACTGCTTGTTGGTCTCGGTCTGCCGTGACTCCGGGTATGGCATCCTAACCAAACCAGGAGGGCAGAGCCAGTATTCCATGGAGGTACTGCTGTCAGCACAGGGCAATGCAGATGTCATCACCTGGTTGGGCACACAGGAGGGTTGGGCAACATGTTGGGGTTTACACCGGGATACCATTGTGATATAGATGTTTAAGAATCCAATCATGGCTTAAGCCAGTTTAAAAGGGGGCCTGGCCTGCCCCTGCACAGGAGTACTCGGGCAACGACGTGAATGTGGAGATTAGTGGGCCCTACGATTCGCAGGGACGGCTGCATGTGGACACCATTAAGCGCTTGAAGGATGGCAGTGTCTGGAATGGCTCGGGTGAAGGCACGAGCACTGAAACCAGCACCGCCTCCCCAGCACCAAGCACCACTCCAGAACCAAGCTCCACTAGCTCCACTAGCTCTTCTAGCTCCACTAGCTCCATTAGCTCCTCTAGCAGCACAGCCATGTCAACCACTCCTAGCACCACACTCGCAAGAGCAAGCACGACCACCACCTCTGCCCTGGTAGGCTCTGGTGAGACCTCAACTACTGGGATCTCAACTTCTGCTTCTTTGGTGACTTCGGCTACCGGCAGCAGTTCAATGCTGCTGGCGACGGCGCTGACTGTTTTCTTCCGCCTCTGAGTTGCGAAACAGCTGCTCCTGAGACTGGAAAAAGTCGTCCGAACCTGTAAAGGTTTGTGAAGGGCTGTACTGTTGGCTGGCTGGTGGTTTCGCATACTTTGTTGTCAACCACTCTAGCTGATCATCCATTGTAATCTGATTCGACAACTATGTTTGGAACAAACATGCACAAATCACGCAGCCTTCAACCAGTTGCTAATCTTTTTTGGAGTAAAGCCACCAGCCAGCTGGGCATTTGACAAAAGTGCATTGCCCACGGTCGGCTGGAGAGTCAATGGCCTATTGCGAGGACCTTGCTTGGGCCTAAACCAGACTTTCATCAAGAAAAACTTGAGCCTGTCAATAAGCTCGTTATAAGATAACGGTGAATGACGGTATGATGATGATGATGATGAGGATGATGAGGAGGAGGTGGAGGAGGAGGAGGACGAGGATGATTATGAGGATGAGGATGATAGATAGATAGACTAGATTAGATTCGATTAGATAGATTAGATTAGATTAGGTTAGATTAGATTAGATTAGATTAGATTAGATGTATAGGTAGATTAGGTTGGTTCAGATTAGATAGATTAGATGAGACGAGATTGGATTATATATATATATATAACTATTTTTCGGGACTACTTTCGCTCGCTTGATTGGGTTCCAACTCGCAAGCAGGCTGTTACGATGCCCACTTGGGAGGCAGCTCAGGGTTCAGTTCGCTTTTTGGGATCGTTTTTTGTTGGTTTTGTTTTTATGCGAGCAAAGCTGCCACCGTATGAGGATGGCAACAAGACAGCACGCAACATTGCACGGGTCAGCTTTCTGGGCAACTGGACATGGAACCCAAAAATGGGGTCTCCCCGAAAAGCGATTCTTGAAAGAAATTTGGGTTGGGTGCTAGTACCCAATTCATCCAGATCCATTGCACCCGTTGCGCTCCAGTGGCAAGGTGAAGGCCCACGTAATTCAGTCGGATAGGAATGAACGGCCCCAAAACACGAATGCGAGTCCTTTTCGTTTCCTTTGAACAAATCATCTTATTCTGCTAAACATCCATTGCGAATCGATCGCAACGGTTGAGTTTTGGGGTCGGCTTGCCACTCCCACCTTCAATGGACAGACCAAGTATCAGCAGCAGACAAACATACCGGTAGTCGAATTTTAGTTTGTGGAGTATTTTCTGATTCCTTTTTGGGGAACAGGCAATTTTGTCCAGACAGCCATGTCGCGAGAGATTGGTCTATTTGAACGCCCAGCTCGTGTGCTGACGGGCCCTTCCTACTTGTCAGTTTCCAACACTCCCAGAAAATTGTGATTGGACGCAGTTTTGGAGCACCCCACAGCCCCATTCCCAAAGAAAACTTGGGGCGCTTCCGCCCGCTCCCGACCTGCGCTTCTGGCCCCGTGCCTCAGGATACCCGCTGGGCTTCGAGCCCAAGGCACCGGAGAAAAAGCCGCGCGGAAGCCGAGACCATCCGGTGAGTGGCAGTCCCGTCTCTCTTGGTGTCGATCTTTTGGTGAATTTGTTGTTGTTTTTGTCTAGGGGGGGGAGGGGTTGCCCTATTACGGCCGTTTTTTGTAGCAAGCAAGTAAAAGTGGGTTTGTGAGTAAAGGGCCTGTCATTGTGCTTTCAAGGGAGAAGAGGAAGCAACCCGTCTTCGGGGCAGCCTTGCTGCCTGGCAAGTGTGTCATTTTGCCCCAAAACTTGTTTTTCGCAGTGGCTTACCTTGAAGCCAACCTCCAAGCCTCAACAAGACTCATGCCCATTTGGTTGCTTTCCCACGGAAAACGGACCCCACAATGCCAACCCGATCTCGGGGCCTTCAAATTTGCGTTTCAGGGGTTTTGGGAATGAACTAGCTGGGACTTCCAAGGAAAGAAGGGATAGCATAGAATCCTCGTAGTTTGGACCGGTTCAGGTACAAGGATTTGGATTCTTACCTCATGCTTTTCTGAGCCTTGACAGGTCCTAGATCACAGACCTCATTGTTCTTTTTTGCGCGGATTCCCCCAATCAGATTCCTGGAGTCTAGAGATGAGTGTGGCTCAAAATTAAGGAGCTAGGGTTACGCAGGTTTTAGTCTTTGTTTCCATTTGCCAGGGTTCTATGTTGGGTACCCTTTTGTGACCCACAGCCATGTGATGAATAAATGGAGCGCAACAGATCACCAGCTGTCTGATGATTGAACACCCCAAGGAATTCCCAATAGCACTCGCCTGATTATCAAAACCGACAGCAGAGGGCCGCATATTAGGGCTTGCACCGTCCGCAAGGCTCGACCTGGGCTTGAGCCTTCGGAAGAAGTCGGGGGCCCACTGGGACGGAAACGGGGGATGATCATTTTGGCGTTTCTCAAAATTGGGGACCCCATCCTGGTGGTTCCTTTCGGTTTTCATCCAAAAAGAGGTCCCCCGTTTTGAGAGACTCCAATCACCAGCCAGCTTCCTGGGTGATTCATCAAACGGGAGTTCGACCTCCCGCAAATTTTATGGCGATGCAGGTTCCGTCAACATGGCCTTCGTCTACAGTCAATTCGGGTTCGGGCATGGACCTCACAAAACAGGGGGCCGGAATCCGGAACCCCAATTTTCCCGCGTCCATTAAAGCAGTGAGCCAACGTAGTTTCACATCTTCGCATGGTCCCACATACGGAAATCACGCTCGTTGTGAAGCAGCGGACGCCTTCTTCTCCACTTGCGTATGATTTCGGACGCCTGGTGTCGTTTCTTGGCATTTTCTTGGGGTCTCAAACTATGTGCCCCCCGCGGTCAAGCAGACCAACCAACAGACTCCTAAATGAGCATTCCATGTTTTCAGCAGGCGATGTTTCGCACTTACATGAGAGGATTCAAGGGTATCGTGGAACATAGGGACCTCAACCGCACGTTCCACCATCTCCAAACCTGCAACTCGGTTTTGTGACGAACCTTTTTTAAGTGGCGCCTTCCGTTTGTGCGGGGGAAGTCGATGGGGTTTTGTTTCGTTTCCTGCGAGGATGGGCGTGATGTCGCTGGGGTCGCTGGGCGCCGTCAGCTCCCGGTCCCGCAACAGCGACGCCTCGTCGCGATCTTCGCGCTTCAAGACGCCCAGCGTGGCCCGGGGTCTCAGCGACTCAACGGCTCACAAGAGGAACAGGAGCTCACCATGCATTTGGGTCCTGTAGCTTTTCCTTAGTTGAGGCGACCTTTTTAGGTTTGGGTTCAAATAGTAGGGGGGAGGTTGGGGGGAAGGTTGCAGACTGGTTTGCGTACAAAAAACACTCTAGACTGCACCCAGTTTCTGTGGGGTCCTGGAAGGGTGAGTGTAGTCACAGGTCAAGTTGTCAACGCTTTGAGTTTGTCTCTTTCTACAACCATTTCGTTGGGACGCCAGTGCCAGTTCTGCTGGTATCCCGCTTAGGCCTTCCGTTTCGACTGTCGCAGGCCTTGGCTGGGGGACTTTAGAGGTCCATGTCCGTCTCGGGATTTCGACTGGGTGACTTTAGTCACAGGTATCCGAGTTCAGGCGAATCACGGAATTCGACAAAGTTGTCAGCTGTCTCGATGACGTCCGCAGCATCTTTGCTGCTTACAACCATTGGCCTGAGAGCATGCGCACGCACTCAACAGCGCTGGCGTGGTGGTGCGGAAAGCGGTTGCAACAACCAGGGTGCACATTCATTGCCCCAACGCGTTTTGCGTTTCTTCTTCTTTTGGATTCCTTTTAAAACCATATTCAATAATCGTAAACACAAACGCACACCACATCAATTGCCACCAGGTTTTGCTCCTTTCTCTCTGGGATTCCTTTCGAAGCTACATTGAGAAGAAGCATACAACGAAAGGCTTGTTAGACGACCGCTGGTTTGCTGGTATTGGAGGCTCCCCCTTTGCCGTGAATCCATGGACAGATCGTGGAGATGTGGGGAAAATTAAGTGTTACCCGGTCTTCCTTTCAGCATGATAAAGCCATGCTTACCAGAGCGCACTTTTGAGAATCTGCGCACTGTGGTAGCCTCCTGCTCTCCTTTTTTTTCCAAGCTGGTTCGCAGATGGTTGGCAGGTTTGGTTCGGGTTTTGTTTGATTCTTTGCTGAGTTGGCTTGTTTGGGCAAGGTTTGGCCTTCGAGTTTTGATCTCTGAGTCAACAAAAGGGTTAATCTTCGGATTCTGACTGTATCGCTACATGGCGGATCATGGCGGTTGTTCAAAAGGTCCTTTACATGGGATGACCACCAGGGAAACCACCAAACAAGATGACCTTCACCACCAAATGGAAACGCATGCCCATGGTCATTTTGGGGCCAGGAATGTTGATCACCCCCCACAGATGAATGAATCGCTCGTGTTTGGCATTACAGAAAGTTCATGTCCAAAAGCTGTTGAGCAGTGCTAACTCCACATTCCTTGCCGCCCCAACCCGGAGTGTAAACTCGACAAGCTGGCAGCCTGCTGTAAAGACCCCTTGAGCGGCAAAATGTGATACCAGGTTCATTCAGGCTAAGTTTGGTCGAGCTCCCAAGGCACAGGGGCATCTTTGCACACGAGTGCTGGAGAGCGAGAGAGTGAGCGAACACGTTAGGATGCTCTTCCTTGCCCCGGCAAGAACCCAACAAACCTTCAGAATTTCTATGTGTTTGACCCGTTTTGGATTCTGAATACAACAGGTGGAAAGACAACACACAATCAGGACTCGGCGCCGATGGTCAAGATTTGGATCTTGCCAATTTGTGTGTCCGTGTCTGTGTGGGTGTGTGTCACTTTCTTTTCCGGCACTTTCTGCGCCGTTTCAATCCGTTCCGTCACGAAACCGAGAAATACATCAAGGGGCGCGTGACAAAGCCCGATGCAAGGACAGCTTCCAGCCAGCCAGCGACACGCCAAGGCTTGGAGGGTTTCCAGGGTTCGCAAAATCGGTTGACACAAAAATTGCTGCAAGTGGACGTCCAAGTTGATGCTTTTTGATTGTGTAAAAACAGCAGTTGCTTAAGCATGTTCCTAGGGTTTGCCGTTTGCCGCATTGGGGTAGCTGCATTTGGCGGCGTGTCCTCAAACAGACGCGCCAAAAGTTGTTGATATCCTTCGGATTTGTCTTAAGCACGCTATTGGTTGGACGTGTGCGCCCCCAGGAAGAATTTGATAGGTCCCCCATGGGTTAGATGCCAAGGTCGATACCCAGAAGTGTTTCAATGGTCAAGAAGAAAATGCAATCAGTCAATCTCCATTGATTTCCCATAGGTTCACAACGGGTTCCCACGGTCGTGAACTGAGTTTTGTGGCATCGGACAGTGTGCCATTTGATACTTGCCTGCAGAAGACCTGGCGGGTCTTGATGGCAGAAATGTGATGGACAAGACGTGCGAATGGTGAACTTAGAAGATTGAGTGAAGCTATGTCCTCAAACCATGAGACACATAGGCAGGCCATTTGTTCATTTAGACCCTCGGCTTTTTTGTTGGCTGAAGAGTAAGAGTAACATTTGTATGGCCAGAAGGCTGCAGGGCCAGGATGACAAGTGTCCTGCATTTCAACTTGGTTCCAAAGATTTGGCAGTGCCACCTATTTTGGGGCAAAGACACCTAGGCTCTAGATGCACAGCGACCGGAAGTATGTTGTCCAGCGTTCATTTGAGGACGTGGGGGCCCTTTAAATTCCAACGCCCTCTTCAGGGTTGTGAAACCAGTTTCTGTAACCTCCGAAGTGATCAAGTCACGATGTCCGACGTTGGTATCACAAGTGGATGTTGTTCCACAACCGTGGCCTGGATGGACACCGAATCGTCGAAGGTCGCAGCACACCAGCCGTGCGTCCGTGGCTGCATCCGTGGTGCCGGGGCCACGGACGGCTACTCTCTGTGACCAAAAGGCCCCAGACCTCCTGGACACCTACAGTATTCGACTTGACCTTTTTCTCCGGAGCAAGCCAAGGGACCCGTTCCGCATCCGCAGGCGGACTTTCTCTTCAGTTATTGCCTCAAGTCAAGGATCTTGAAGACCCATGGCATGGGGGAAGTGCCCACAAGCCTTCCTTTTCTTTTTTCCCGAATGCGCAGCACAGGTTCCCGTTTAGAGGTCGAAAATCTAGGGGTTCGGACGTGACCAGAAGTCGTTGAATTTACGTCCCCAAGCGTTCGCAAGTGTTCGCAAGCGTTCGTATGTGTTCGCGAGCGTCGCGGTCGCAGTTCCAATGGGGAAAGCGAAAAACGTGCCATTTAGATGACTTGAAGCGTGTCATTTTTCGTGCCCCTGTGCGGGAATCGTAGCTCTTAGCATGTCAGATGTTGTTTTGCTGCGCAGACGCAGTGTTTTGTGAAGGTACACGGTTGCGTTGCAAATCCATTGTGATTCGCGGTTCAGGGGTCGTCGTTTTGAGGTGCTTTGCCTGGAATGCGCGCGGAAGCGTTTCGTTTCCTCGAATGTCGTTTTCGCCTGACGTACAATCGGCTCGTTTTCACGACTTTAGATTTGCAAGAAATCGGTCGAAATCATTCTGGCGCTACAGTCCCGCGCTAGTTTTCGGCGTCCGATGCGAGAGTTTCAAATTCTGATTTCGAGGCAGGCGCAGCATTTTGAGCGCTTTGCGTGCCGCTGTAACGCCAATTTGCGTGACAGGCGCAGCACGTTCGAGCTGTTCGTGCAGATTTCGTGGCTGGCGCAACACTTTAGAGCTTTTTGGTGCAGATTTTGTGGCAGGCGCAGTACTTTCCAGCTTGCGCGCAGATTTCGTGGCACGCGCAGAACTTTGAGGGGTCGAGTCGCTCTCGCTGCGCGTGGCGCGCATTTGGAGACTGCAAAGTGAACAGTCGAATCGCTCTCGTGCACATTTTGAGATCGCAAAGTGAACCCTTTGCGCACTTTGGATGGGTTGAATTGCTTTCGCCGTGGTGCGGAGCGCATTTTGAGCTTGCAAAGTGAAGCCTCTGCGCACTTTGGGTGGGTCGAATCGATCTCGCTGTGGCGCGGTGCACATTTTGAGATCGCACAGCGAAACCTCTGCGCACTTTGGATGGGTTGAATTGCTTTTACCGTGGTGCGGAGCACATTTTGAGATCGCGAAGTCGTGACGGTACACGTAACGAGAGATGTGACACGAAACGCGAGTAGGGTCGTGTCTAGAGACATGAGAAAGACCGCGAAAGACAGGACGGGAGATGTGACGGAGTTGTGACGGGAGGCGCGTCGAGACACATGATGAGTTATGACGAGAGACGGGACCAGAGTTGTTACGACAGACATGACAAAGAACATGACCAAAGCCGTGACAAGAGACTGTGACCAGAGGCGTGACGATGGATGTGACAAGAGACGTGCGAGGAGAGCCGTGACAAGGGACTTGACGAGAGATGCGACAAGAGACGTGACGAGGATCGTGACGCGAGAGGTTGCCAGAGACGGGACGGCAAATATGACAAGAGACATGTGAGAAAAGACGTGGCGAGGGTCGTGACCAGACACGTGACGCGAGGGGCGACGACGCACGTGACAGGGGACGTCTCCAAGAAAGACGTGACGGGAGATGCTGCGTAGTCGCGACGAGCGCCGCGTCAAGACACGTGATGAAAGATGTGATGATGAAAGATGTGATGAGAGTCATGAAGCGTGACCAATCTCCATTGATTTCCCATAGGTTTATACAACGGGTTCCCACGGTCGTACTTACGAATGGTGAACTTAGGAGATTGTGAGCTATGTCCTCAAGCCCTGAGACACATATGCAGGCCGTTTGTTCATTTAGACCCTCGGCGTTTTTGTTGGCTGAAGAGTAAGAGTAACATTTGTATGGCCAGAAGACAAGTGTCCTGCATTTCAACTTGGTTCCAAAGATTTGGCAGTGCCACCTATTTTGGGACAAAGACACCTAGGCTCCGGATGCGAAGCGACCGGAAGTATGTGAGCGAATGCCAACAGGGTTGGATGTCCAGCGTTCATTTGAGGACGTGGGGGCCCTTTAAATTCCAACGCCCTCTTCAGGGTTGTGAAACCAGTTTCTGTAACCTCCGAAGTGATCAAGTCACGATGTCCGACGTTGGTATCACAAGTGGATGTTGTTCCACAACCGTGGCCTGGATGGACACCGAATCGTCGAAGGTCGCAGCACACCAGCCGTGCGTCCGTGGCTGCATCCGTGGTGCCGGGGCCACGGACGGCTACTGTCTGTGACCAAAAGGCCCCAGACCTCTTGGACACAAAGTGTTCGACTTGACCTTTTTCTCCGGAGCAGCCCAAAAAACCGGCCTTCAGCCTCTTGAGTTATTGCCTCAAGTGGATCTTGAAGACCCATGGTATGGGGGAATCGTTTCCTCGAATGTCGTTTTCGTTGGCCCTGTCGTACAATCGGCTCGTTTTCACGACTTTAGATTTGCAAGCAATCGGTCGAAATCATTCTGGCGCTACAGGCGAGAGTGTCAAATTCTGATTTCATGGCCGGCGCAGCATTTTGAGCGCTTTGCATGTCGCTGCAACGTCATTTTGTGTGACGGGCGCAGCACTTTCGAGCTGTGCGTGCAGATTTCGTGGCAGGCGCGGCACTTTAGAGCTTTCGTGGCAGGTTTCCAGCTTGCGCGCAGATTTCGTGGCAGGCGCAGCACTTTGAGGGGTCGAGGCTCTCGCTGCGGCGCGGCGCGCATTTGGAGACTGCAAAGTGAACCCTGCGGAGTTTGGGTGGGTCGAATCGCTCTCGCTGTGGCCTGGTGCACCGCAAAGTGAACCCTTTGCGCCCTTTGGGTGGGTCGAATCGCTCTCGCTGTGGCGCGGCTCACATTTTGAGATTGCAAGACCCTCTGCGCACTTTGGGCGGGTCGAGTCGCTCTCGCTGGGGCGCACTGCGCATTTTGAGATCGGGATGTGACACGAAACGCGAGTAAGGGTCGTGGCTAGAGACATGAGAAGACACAGGAGATGTGACGGAGTCGTGACGTGAGGCGCGTCGAGACACATGATGAGTTATGACGAGAAAAGGGAACAGGGTTGTTGCGACGGACGTGACGAAGAACATGACCAAAGCCGTGACAAAAGACGTGACCAGAGGCATGACGATGGATGTGATAAGAGAGGAGTGCCAAGTCCGGGAGCGACTACGACATTGTGTCGAAAGACACTCATACTGGCCAATACAGGAGGAACGCCGTTGACTTGCAGCTACTCAAGGAGGAGCGGAGGTCCAGGCCCTTCGAGGGCTCATGAGGTGGGTCAAGCACAAGGACGTGTTGGCCAACGGGCTGACCAAGAATAACAGAGCATGAAGCACTACGGTAGGATACGGTAGGTACGGCGTAGGCCGAGTCAAGTGTTTTCCGCAGGCAAGCCGCGCAAAGAACTCAGCGGCAAATAGATTTTGGGTGGTGTGAAATAGTTTGGAGCTGAGTTGTGCGCAGCCATTAATCACCAAAGCCGTTTTGAGGAGTCTCGCAGAGCCTGTGGAAAAGACTCCTCACAATATAAGTGCCCTCAAAGCAACCTTTGCGGTTTCGGTCGATTTCCAAATTTGTCTCAGGAGTGACTCGGAGGCCTCTGACCTGGAGCCGGAGTCAGACCTGGAGCGGGATGGTTGGCTTGGGTATGTGTCAACTTGCAGGTGGATTGTCCAGATGGATTTGACACGCACTTGGGCCCAGAGTCAAACGGCCTTGCCAGAAGCTCTCAGAAAGCCTCGTTTGAATCGGGAGCTCCCAAAATGAATAGGCTTTTGCCTTGGGTTCCTTGAAAGCACCCCACAAAGCTACTCGCAGGAACAAAGAAAACAACCAGCAGGAGCTCGTAGACAGGTTTTCGTATCACGAGGCTCTATGGAAGGATAGGCTGGGAGCACCTTAGCTTCTGCCCCTGCAAAAGCCAACCCAAAAGCCACAAACGGAAATTCCATTGCTCTGGGGCCTTTGCTTCGCCCGCATGAGCCACCAACCAGACATGTTTTTTTTTTTGTTGGGGTGGATTGTTGGGTCCTGAATTTTTGGTTGCTCCCCTGTCAAGCCATCAATCCCTGGAGCCTCAGGAGTCCGTGGCGGATGAGCCTGTCAAGGAGAGTCGAGGGCTCTTCAGGTGCCTCTCTTTGGGCTTTTCAACGGCGCCTATGTGAAGGAAAAGAAGAGGAAGCCAGCCAGTTGTTGGGGCGCCCATGTTATCCCATGTTTGCGACAAGCCGGGCATGACCTGCCTATTTATGTTGAGCTCACCTCAGGGTAAAACGCGCTCGAAATGATGTAGGTACGTTTTACTTCGGGGATCCCTTTGTTTCTGGCTTTGGAATCATTGTAGAATTTGTATGTGTAGATGATTTGGGTGTGTGAAGATGCAGGATATCTCGCTTTCCAACTTGCAATAGGGGAACGCACGGTGGATTCCCTCAACACCCGGTGTAATTTGCGGATCGGACGGTCCCATTGCTTTCACGAGAAACCTGGTCAACTGTTTGGCATAGCATCCTTTTCAGCGATCACCACACTTGGCTTGTCAGCTTGTGAACATTCGCGACGTTAGAAGTTCGTCCCATACACCTTGAAATAGAGGTTCCTCTTGGCAGGGAGGAATGGACAGCTCTGCTCTTTTGCCAGGGTACACTACCCCGATACATGATTGCGAGGGGTTACTTAGCTTGTCCGGGAAAGTAGCTAACAACCTCATGTTAATCCCCTGCCAACCCGTGAGCCTGACATTTTTAACCCAGGTCTGCAAGCTCTTATAAGGGTGAACGAAACATTTACCCTCCCTCCAAGCCTATGGCCAACCCTACTTTTCCAGAGTTGACAAAGGGAGGTTGAGCAGCTTGAAGAACTTGCTGGTGCGATAGGTAGGGAATGCAGGAATGAACCTGGGGATTCCCTTAAAGGAAACCACCAGTGGGACGGTTTTCTTTTCATTCCATTTCATTTCTCATTCCCTTGCCTATCGCACCCGCAAGAGAATTCCTTTCACACTGCCCTCCCCGCTACGGATGGACAAAATCCATTTCACACCACCCATTCCCCCCTGAATACCGACAAACGTTATGGTTTCAACCATGCCTTCTTGGGTGGTGCGAAAAGGACTTCGCAACCATCCACAGTATCACTGGACGGTGTTCCCCTCCAACAGCAATGATTCCTCGCACCCAGGTTGACACCCCCTAATAAACCGGGGTTGGTTAACATGGCTGTGGGTCAAAACCAATGGTACCATTTTGATTTTGGGGTAGGTGCACCACCCGGGATTGGGATGTTCACTGGCGGTATGATTTGGCTTTTGACCCATGGCCACATGGAGTCAAGATGGACGACAGGCTTCGACTGAGGGCAAATCACCGAAGTCGGCGCTTCGGCAGGACTCCAAGCTGAAGTCCTTCGACGCGCACCCGGCGATCTGCACACCCCTCCCTCGCGCGCCCTTTGACGCGAGTGAAACAAAATATGGGGGCTCGTCTTTTTGACGAAAGGCACCCCTTGTTTGTGGGACCCTCAAAATGCCAGCCTAAGAATGGGGTGAGTTGCAACCGAACATTATGGTTGGTGAATTCCCATGTTTAAGGGTAGTTTGAGGGTACGGTACCTGTTTCTTTGGGCCATTTTAGTGGCTTTGTTCTTGATGATTCCTCACGTGGCACCACCAAAGGGGAAATTCATACCCTTTGGGTGCGTCGTTTTGATGCTTGGTGGGCCTTGTTGGGGCTGTTGTCAGGGAACCAAAGGGAAACCACGGCATTTTGGGGAAAAAAGGGAAACCAAGCATGGGCTTCCCTCTCGTTCGAAGATGGAGATGTTTGGTGACTGTCATGACCAACTTGGCCTTTGCGTGGTGCTTTCCGTTCCATTCTCCGTTTCTTTTGGCCTGATGAATCGCTTGCTCAAGCGGGGCTTGCGCTTTCTACTCACTTAAGCTTACAGGTCAAGAGATGTAAAGAGTCAAAAGTCGCATCCCCTGACAGGACGTGCCAAGCGAGGGTCCGCAATCGTAGGCTCTGCCAGTCTGGTTTTCCTTTTTGTCTCCTTAGCCTCGGCGCCTAAGCTCATTATGAGACCTTCGTACATCATCCCACCGACAGGCTTGGGAAGCTTCAGGCGGCGAATTCCAGCGTTGTGCGCTGGCAGAGCTCGCAGCATTCTAGTCCAATCCGCGGCAATGGAGAATCTACCCTGCTGAATTGATTGAGCCGCCTGTTAATGGTTGACTCTTCCCTGGATCTTAGCACCGTGACACCTAGGCCGGTGTGTTTGCCCAACTGCAAGAACGCCAAGCAGTTGGCAACCGCAGGGGCTGGGCCCTTGGAGGTCAATTAGGAGGATGTGAGGTGCTGAACATGGAACATGGCGATCACAAAGTTTTCGGGCCCAAAAGGGGCTGGTTTCGAACGGGATGCCGCAAATCAACTTGTAGGTTCTCCTATTCGACAACCCCTCGCCGGGACCCACAGATGCACGTTCCGAAAGCGCAATCTCCCTCATGGTCGCACAAGAAGTCCCTTGGGTCCAAGTTTGGGTTTGTCTCCTTTCTGGAGCACTCCCTCGGTTTTTCCATGTTTTTCCACTTAATTCTTGGCTTTGGTTCCTGGTTGGTTCCCGGTTTGCCTCTCCAACGGCATTCTCCAGCCTGTCTCTCCGAGGCAGCTGACTCTAGTTTGGGAATCCGCCAGTCCCGCTCGGGGCTCAGAACGCCTCATGAAGCTTCCATTTGCTCAAGAAACCTGCTGTATTTTCCCCTCTTGGTTTTAAAGGGAAACTATCGCTACTGAAAGCATACTTTTTTCCAGTGGACTTAAGCAAATGGAAGAAGTTGTGATTCCCCTTACCAACTGTGTATCTGGAAGAACTGGGATAGGCCTCTTTTGCGGCGGAATGAGTTGCTCTCCCTTGCATTGTGAAACCAGATCAGCATGTTTTCGCGTTTGGGTAGGATATACCTGGTTGTTTAGCTGCACCCTTTTTCCTTCTGATGAATCGCCGGTAAGTTCGCTCGAATCCTTGCATGAGGGCTGTACTTAACCCGTACGCCGTACCAACATGGACCCCAAAAAGCCCAATGCCTTTTCGTCTTCGGGCCGTTTTGGGGCATGTTAGCCTCACTCGATTTGGACCATGGCATGCCCTGATTCTAGGAACTCGAGGCCGGGTGCTGTGCGATGCCGACGAGCGCGCGTAGGATAAGCCTGGCTTGAGTATTGCATATATAATATATCTATATATGTATATGTATAATATATATATATATATACACATATATATATATAGGTTTGACTGTGACTCGAACTAGGGGAACGCAGAGGATGGGGGGTTCTCTTTCGGTGTCCCTGTAAACCAACCCCAAAAGCGGTACCACTATATACACATGATGACGGAATAATGTTTTGCAGGTATATCTATGTAGTCATACAAATGTTGTTGTTTTTGCATAGGGAAGTCTTAGGTGCTGGTTAACAGCCCGCCCCCCCAATGGGAGCCTTCACACAGGATTTCTTATCAGGACAGTCCCTGTGATACGTTTGCCCAGCACAACCGAAGGTGTGTTTCATCAACAAGCTCAATGCGTCACAAGGGCCTAAGTACGTAGTTGCGTGGTTGATTATACGGCGCAATTGTTTGACCCCTTGCATTTACTCAACGCAAGACCAGAACCGAGTTGAAGAATCGAATGGGCTAACACGACCCGGCAGCAAACGTGTTATCCCTATACATGCCCCTTATCTGACTCGCGTTTTCCACTTGGCTCCAGTTGGGAGACAGCTTGCCATCGGCTCGCAGTATGGCCATCAGGTCTGATCTCAGCAAGTCTGGCACCAGGTGGGGGATGGGGGGCCTGGGCCTTCAGTCTTCGTTGGCCTTGCTTGACTTTTGTTGGCCTCATTTGGCCTTTGGCCATATGGGGCCTTATTTCCAAGGCTTATGGCGCCGTAGCCATCCAAATGTGATCCCTACGGGTTTCGGGCATCCTGCCTTTCCCACCTTGCGCGCCGGATATGAGCGGATGTGGTGACTTCAATAAAGTTACCCGGGCGATGGGCCGAACTTGGATTTTGGTTTGCGAGATGATCGTTGCTTTCCTTGGGGGTCGTTTCTTCGCAACTGGCAAACGCCGCCAAAACCGATGCACTCAGATGCCTGCCATGTCTCAATCTGCATCGGAGCCCACGAGCCAGCTGTTCCTTGGCTGAGTCGAACCCCAGCCCAAGCCAGACACCACCAAGGGTAGAGACCTGGGTGTGACCAGTTGGAAACTGTCATGACTGGAATCCGGGCAGGCCTTAGTTGGTGGTTTGGCGGTTTGGTGGTTTGGATTCGGATCTGACGCCCAGTTCCTAAGCCAAAAGTCTGGTTTGGTACCCCTAAGGTCCAAACCATCAAACCACCAACTAGTGTGAAAATCCCCACGGGTTGAACGCCCAATGTCAACCTTGGCATATTCCCTAAAGCTCCATGGAGGAAGCCACCATGGCAACGCATTGGCCGCATTCAGCCCGCCTGTGGGGCACACCCTATCAAGCAAGGGGGGGTAATTCATCCTCAGCTCCCATCTTCCACGCGCCCGCGGTATGTGTCAAATTAGGGATTTTAGGAGCCCCAACATGGCTTCGTTTTTGTTCCTGTTGGTCCTTTCAAGCTTCGCCTATTGCCAGGACCGAGATGGGGTCTCTTCAACCCCGCCTCAAAACACTCCATGTGGCCTCAGGAGAGCTTATCATTTCCACGGAGGGCCATTCTGAGGCGAAGACGGGCGGTTCTCAGCCATCTGGCATTTGCGACTGGAGTTTTGAACCCAAGAATGGTTGGCTTCCTTTTTTGTCCCCAACCCAAACCCAACCAATTGTTTATGACATACTCACTGAAGATACAACTTCTAGCACGGGCTCAACGAGCAACTCAATCCTCCGCTTTGTGGAGGAGTCTCCAATCCAAGCAGCGGCTTTTGATGGGCATGGATGGCACCCTCCGGTTGTTGGGTGGGATCTCCTTGTGAAGAAAGGACTCCTCTTTAGGTGTTCCTTCTTTACCATTTCTATGCTCAGGAACCGTCTATCACCTTACAGTGGAGGATTTGAAATGCCCATGGTGTTTGGCTTTTTTAAAGCAAGGAACCCAAACACAACTTGCACAGGGTCTTTTTAACCAAAGCTTCGCGCTTGAATGCTTCTTGTCCAAAACCCAACAATGACACCCCCGCTGGTTGATTCAAAGAGGTGTGTATGAAACTTGGATGTTCGTTGCCAAGTTGGGAAGTGGTTAGCCACCTAGGTTATAACCTACTACTGACTGGGTTAATCCCACTTAAGGAGGCTTATAAGTGGGTGGTAACCTGGGTTACCAACAACTTACCTACCCTGGAACAACACCCAACTAGGACAATCTTTACTTTGTAGGGCCGGTCTTTTTTTCTTTTCCGCCAAGTTGAGTCTGTGACACTGACGGCCAGTAAATGAACATGGTGCGAAGAAAGCCCCTTGTAATTTTCTTGCTCTTTATTCATGTGCCCTGTGTAACCTTTAGAGGCTCCCAACGTAACTAACCTTTTCCCGGGTCGTTACTTTTCTGAATCAAGACCAGAGGGTTGGTTTCTGTTGACCACCCACCATTCCATATTTGACTACTTCGTCCATCAAATCAAAGTCAGAAACTGCTCCTAGGGATAAGTGGACAATCACGCGCCTCTTCTTTTCACAACGCCAGAGGTTGGGACCCAAACACCTTCAACCCAGCCCCCCCCCCGCCCCCCCCCCCGCCCCCCCCCCCGCCTGGCGCCTGGCAGGTGATTCATCTGCTGGGCTCGGAGGTGGCCTGGAGCAACGGCACCACCACCCTGGCGCAGGCGAATCCACGGGGAGGGTGAGGCGGAAAGGGCATGGCCTCCCACCCTTTTTTCACATGGAACCAAAAGCGGGGGGGGGGGGCTATACAGAATGTATATATAAAATTAGTCTGTGTACATACATTTGCACTTATACATATATATATATATAGAGGTACTACGCGTATTGTGTTTTTGTATGTGTACTATATATGCGCTATTAGTATGAGTGTTTCTCACTGCGGAGCCTCTTTTGGTTGGTATTTGAAGAAACCCAAACAATTTGGACATTTGGTTCAGATGATGTTTTTTGATATCAGTCACCGCAGGGGCTTCCGTTCAACGGCGGCACGGCAAACAGAAAGGGGAAATCATTCGGCCTCCCTAGCAGAATGGTTCTCAGAACTCTGACAGGCACTCTTTCTATTGTTGTAAGAGCCTTCCCTGGATTGTGCGGTTTCCACATGTCATCAGTCTGGGTGAATCATGACAATTCACTAAGTTGGGTTCCAACAATGGGCTCTAGTACCCACATTGCTTTGGTGCAAGTTGGAACCCGTGTATTAGAACCTGTTAAACGTGACCCTCCGGCGTTCCAAATCATTACGGGCCTTGACTGTACAAGAGTGATTTGGGGTGATGGGCTTTACGGCTGACTTCCATCTTGAACAGCCCAGGTTATCACAGGCAGATTGTATCTGTCTCGAGGACATCTGGGAGAAACTTATCAAGATCCTTTAGGGCATCCCACAACGCCCACTAGTTTGCCCGGATTGTATGTAGTTCTTTGGCAATTCCTGGCGTGTTCCTTGCACAATTGTCATCTCTGCATGGACACAGGGCACTAACTCCACCTTCACCTGCGACCCACTCACAAACTCTGCGGGCTGAGCACTCAACCAGCACAGAGATGCATTTTTGCGCCTGATAATTCAACTTGGATTTATATCCACCAATCATTTCTGGCTTTCCAACCATTTAGGATACGTGGGCGTCCTGCGAACTTGTTTGAAGCTAATGAAAAGAAGGGCCGAGATGGGCCAACAGTTGGGATGACAGAACTGCCCAGTGTGAGCTCCTGAGTTTGAACAGCTAAATTCACAGTGCAGAGTGCAGCCAAGATCCGAGCTACAACATTTGGCCGTGGCTCAAATAAATGTACCAAAATGGCACCTTGGCAAATGCAATCAAAACTAAAACATGCGCAACCCTAGGTCTTTAATTTTGACCCACACCTATTTGTCAAGCCATTCATGCAGCCTTTTTGTAGGCCCGGTCGAGCCGAGCTCGGCGCTGCGAGTGGTTTGGAGCAGAAAGGGAAGCCAAGAAATCTGGCATTGTCTGGGAGTCTGAACATTGAGAAGTCCCAGGTCCTGATGTTAGCCATTTTGTAAGTCCTGTTTTGTTGGCGCCAATTGTTTAGGAGACCTATTTTGTCCACGACGTAACTGGTTCTTTAAGCCTTCTCAGGCCACGCATCCCGCGACGTATCCCCAAACTGAAGGGTGTGTCATTTTTTGAGAATTCCCCTTGTGGGGTTGTTTCGAATGGGAAGCCAAGACAGACACCCACGAATTGTTGTTTTACTTTTTGAGGGGGTCCGGGTTGCCACCAGCTTGAGGCAACCCCAATGGAAACCAACAGGAAGCCGCCCACTTCGGCTGAAAACCGTCTCTCCCAACTCCGCAGGATCTCTGCGTGATTAGCATTGTCCCCCCAGAGAGCATGAAGCCCCGTGCGGATCCCAGAAAGGGCGAGACGTGGCTGTCGGAAGATCCCACTCGACTTCTCTGCGAGTGTAAACCTGAACGGGACTGAACATCCATCGGCACCGGTTGAGATGAATGACACCAAGTGGGGTGTCTCAAAATAGGGGACCCCCTTTTTGTTGAATTGCGAAAAGGATTGCGTCCATTTGACCAAAGGGTCTCCGAAAATCGCCATGAAATCCAGATCTTTGGACGACGATCTTCCTGGCATCTCGTACCGGAAACGTGTGCAAGCCCCACGCTTCCTTTTTTTCTTCACTCAGGTCAAATGCAAGGCGCGCAAAGCGGGGGAAGAGCCGCGTTACCTCTTTGCGGAACCCATCGGACAGTATTCTACTCTCTTTTTCTGCTCAACTGTGAAAGCTTGGAGGTCTTTGCACAGGTGGAGTGGTTCCAGAAGGGTGTGGGGGTTGCTGTTGGGGACACCACCTGTTTGTTTTTGTGTATTTTCTTCTTTGTTGCATGATCACAGACAGCTACTTTAGGGTGGCTTGACTTTTTCAGGGGCTCTGCTGAAGTTCTTCTGTGGGAACCGCCCTGTCAAAGATGTCACCTTATTCAGCGGTGTCAAAGCATTTCTGCCCTCGCCTATGATCGGGCAAGTGGCACAAACATGGCTGGGGCTGACCCGCTTTGTCGCGCACAGTCGCCTTTTCCAACAAAGCCGCTACAGTGGTGGCTGGTCAAAAGACCTACTATTCTGATTCATTGTTAGTTCTACGCTACTTGTATAGTCTAGTAGATGGCGTTGGGATTAATTAGCCAACATGGTTTCGTAACCCTACTTACAAGGTTTCACAGGGGGTGGCAGGAGGTTCACCGGGGGTTAGGAAGTACGTCCCGTTTTAGCTTGGAATGAGGCCAGCCACTCGGAGGGGCCCCAAGTCTTGTGACCTGGTGGCCCTCTTTTGAGGGCCATGTGACATTGTCTTCGCCAAGGGACGTGGCGACACTTGGTTACACAAGATCATCAGGAAGCCTTGAAAGGGGAGAGAAGTGGCCCACCATTTCAGCCGATTCGGCTGGATTGAACAGGGTGTCCCGTCGAGTGTGCAGGGCGCAGCCATCGGCCATCGATCGCCGGCAGCCTGAAGGCCGGGCTTTTCGGAAAATGAACGTCTTTCCCAACTCAACTAGCTGTGGTTGTCAAAACCAATGGTATCCCATTTTGGGGTAGGTGAATTCACCACCCATTTTAGTTGGGATTTTTAGTGGGGATTGGGATGTTCACTGGGGGTACGATTTGGATTTTGACCCATGGCCAACTGGCAAGTTGCTTTGTGACTTGCCACCTTCCCAAGCCAGACCCAATGGACTTGGACATTTCTTCGCGCCAGGGCGCTTGATGGATTTTGGCCGTACCATGGCTGCTTTTCAGCGTGCTTCTGCCTGATGGATTTGCTTAAATGTGTTTGATGTTTATTGCCACCGACCAACACTGCCTTTGACATGTAACATTGTTGAGACAAACACCTCATGTTGAGGTTTGCCAACTGGCAGACTGCTGTTTCATTCAGCTGTCCGTTGAACAACAGCATTTGCCCATATTGCCACGGGGTTGAGCCGTTAGTGGTATTGCACCGGTGGAACATACGATGCGACCAAACCAGGTCGTCGAGTCGTGGGCATGTTTTGATTCCAGGATGGCCAGCAAGTCATTCCTTGAAGGGCATATGGGTATGTCTTGTTTGAGGGCACTGTTGCTTTCAAGTGACACCGAAAGGCAAGCCGAAGCCACCACGGGGGTCCAACCTCTGAAAAGACACCCCGATATCAAGTGAAATTCATGGTCTGTTGGACCCGGCTGGCCTTTGGACCATCGCCGAAGACCAGAAGAAAGAATACGTCGTGGAAAGTTTGTGATATTAGGGATATCAAGTAACCTCCTTAAAATGGGAATAGTAGTCATACCGTGGATTCTCCAGTTTACCTCGTTATTTGTCGTGTTTCGACCATCCCCTCTGGTGCCTGGCGTGGAGTTTGTCCATCCACCGCACTGCCCACTCTCACACGAGTGCTTTTCTAAGTAATTTCATGGAGTGTAGAACGGGCTCGTGATCCCCCTATTTACAAATGAATACAGGGATGTTCACCCTGGAAGCATCCCCGAATTGGGGCACCCAGAAGTTTCAGGGGGTTGTCAAGGGGTTCCGTTGAATTGGGGGAAGGGAGCGCAAGGCTGTTTGTAAGCAAGTTGGCTTGTTTCTGCGTCAATGTAAGGCTCCGCCCCGTGGTCATATAGAGGTGCTGAGTGTCTGAGTTGGTGCGGGTTTTCTGGAGGTCTAGGGAGAGGGCGGGTGTGTCAAAGTGCTCCCGGAGCAATTCAGCCCAGTTCAGTTCGGCCCGAACGAATCGACCGAGCAGGCAGTCTTTGGACGGGGAGGCACGTGGGTTTTGGGATTTCCAGACGCGCTTGGGAAGCACAGGGCAAGAATTGTTTGAACAGCGAATTATACCCCCGCACCTTTTCGTGGAAACAAAAGGAGGATGTCTGGACAACAGGTGTTGAACATGTTTAATTTGGCAGTTGCCGCATATGCCAGCACAACCACTTGGCCGAAATCGGGGTTTGAAACATGTTGGAGGGGCTTGAACGGCCTGCAACTATTGAAAAGAGGTCTTTCGTTTCATTTCGTTTCAAAATTGAACATCCGGACTTTTGGGGTCCTGCATGACACTTTCAGATGCTGCAGGTCAGTTTTGTGAGTGGCCGAGGGAATTTCCCTTCACCCCGCCACCCCCCAAAAAAGGAAATGGTGCTCCTGACTGTCGCCGATGCTAGAAGTGGCATAGTTGCGCTTTGCTCTGCAATGCCCCATATTATTGATCTTTTCTTGCTGGTGCTCAGCAGGTAATGTGGGAATGAACCCAGGGGTCCCCTTAAAGGAAGCCGCAAGGGAAGCACTTCCTGAGCAACCATGGCCCCCTTTGGTGAATCACATGCTTCGGATTTGGTGGTGAAAACACCAGGAATTGTTTCTTCCTTGTCTCTTTTTGTGCCAGACTGTCGGGCCCTTCATTGAAGTGAGGTTAGCGGGGTTGACTTGCAAGGTAAGGTCTTACTTTGGGCCAGTAGTTCCTCATTCGCTTGCGCGAATTGCATCCTGTGACTGAGCCCGAGGGTTGCACCATCATGTTGTCAATCCACCGTACCCAGACCTTAGGGTGCGAAGGATAGGCCTCGAACTCAATCGTTGTTTGGTCTCTTGATACTGGGTTTCTGGGCCAAGGGCCGTGCCCGACATGAATCACTTTTTCGACAGTCAGTTTCACGTTGGCTTTCTTCCCTTGCAGTTCTAAAGCGGGTAGCCTGAACTGAAGCAGTTCCTTGTTCGATATCTTCCGCTCATACACTTTTCAGACCCACCAACCCCCATGATCCCCATGCTTGCCCTGGGATCAAGTTCACCAGTCTACGGCCGCGGCCGTCATGATGAGTTCACATGCCACGATGTTTGGTTAAGATGATTTTACTTTTGGCGGGATAATGATGCGAGTCGCAAGGAGACATCTCAGGAATCCGTTTTAATCAGGGACTATGAAAGGCGACTTTCCTATGGTTCCCTGGTTTGCCGTCTGAGACACATTTCCCGTCATTTGTCGGGGGGCAGTTGGTTTGCATCATCTTTTGGTTGATGTTTCGTGAACTGCCATTGGAGGGGGGGGGGCATTTGGAGACAACCCCATGCGTCCTTTCGCATCAGCACCTTTCCGGGCAAGTGGCGAGCTACAGCGAGCTCACCCGCACAGGTTTTTGACCTCGGGATTCCTTTTCTGCTCCCGGGTACAAGCATTGAGGTTGAGTTTGGGGGGCCAAACAGGGGTCAAAGCACTTGCCTCACAAGGTACTTGCCCATGCTTAGGGCATTCTTGATGTCTGGCTTTGGAATAGCAATTTGGCCCCCGATCTTTGGTCATCCCGGCGCAGGAGGCGGCGAAGGGGTTGCTGGGTGGCTCTTCTACTGCCCGAGCGCCCAGCTTCAGCTTCGGGAGTCGGATATGCTTTGGCCAAGTGCCACCGGTGAAAAAATGCTAAACACAAGCCATCAACGGAGTTTCCCAGTGGGAAAATGGCAGGGAGGTCAACAGAAAGGCTCGTTTTGAGGCGTTTTGGCTGGGACTTCGGTGTTTTTTGTCCGGTGGTGTTCCAAGTTGGTCATTTGTTTCTCGTACAAATTTGGGATGCCGAGTCCCAACAGCATTTTCCGTTTCCGTTTGGTTCCCTTGAGCATCCAAAAAGGGTTCATCTCTCCCCAGATCCGACCTCGATCAGAGCAAAGTTCCGCGAGGTCGACCCACATGCCTCCATCTGACCTCAGGAGCGCAGGCATCCCAACTTGCTGTTTTCCCTGATTTCCCTTTGGGGATTGCTTGATCCACAGCGCCCATAGTGTTGATGCCGAACGTCAAGGGGTGGGAAGCTGCTCAAATGGCGGGAGGCATTCTCAGACGTCTTGTCGGTGCTCGGCTTCGGTTTCCTTTGAGGTTTGCCTTGCCCGGAAAGGAGCTCAATCCACTTGGGCCGAACAACCATCTCAGAACTGGAGCGGAGAAGGGGGTGAATCCGACTGTTTAATTAAAACAAAGCATTGCGATGGCCTCAGAAGGTGTTGGCGCAATGTGATTTCTGTTCAGTGCTCTGAATGGAATGTCAAAGTGATGACATTCAAACAAGCGCGTGTCTTTTGGTAGGGTAATTACCTTTTTTTTGTGCTTATAAAGGGAAGCCAAAAGGAGCACCTTTTCGGGTGAACCCTTTTCTGTTTGGATGAGGCATGGATCTTCCAAGCCTCAGGATCTGCTTTTGCATTTCGCTGTCTCCCAGGCAACAAGAACGACTTGAGCGCAGTCCTGGACAGGCTTGGGGAGCAGGGCTGCCGGGAGACTTAGTTGCAGACTTACATTTCGAGATTAGTTGCTTCTGATGGTTTCCCTTCAAGCCAGACAGTTCAGGGTAATTTTCCTTAAGGCACAACTTTTAGGAAGGGTGATTTCCCATAAAACCATAATTTCAGTGCATACAAGCTTTCGTAGCTACCCGGCCACAACTTTCATAGCAAACTGGCCACAACTTTCATAGCAAACCAGCCACAACTTTCATAGCAAACCGACCATAAAACATTGCTTGCATTAGTGGAACTAGTTGCGGAAGTGGAAGGGGGGTGGGGGGGGTAGGGGGTAGGTTGCCATTCTCTGTGTGTGGCCAGGGACGCCCCGAGGACAAAGTAGTTATGGTTTTGCAAAGAGAAAGTGAGTTGGACTGGTCAGCCACTTGTTTGGGAAGGGTGAACACAAGCACGTCGATTGAGATGGGCCGGGAGTGACAGCCGCATGTGTAGTGAATGGGCTCGGCCATGTGGAGAATCACCGAAAATGAGTTGAGGGATCGCTCAACTGGCCTCTTTTTCCATGGAAAAAGCATCTTTCCGAGCAATCCTCCTGCAAGCCAACTGTTTGACACGTGTTTGACAGACAAAGAAAAACATACCGATTGGGCTGGTGTTGTTCCAAGGTTCAACCTTTTGCTGAGGGACTGGGTCTGAGATGCCTCAGAGATCCTTTCAGAAGCCGTTGGCTTCTCTGAAACTTCAGGTAGGTGCTCACGTGGTATTTTGACGAGTGGCTTTGCGGAAAAAAAACACAAACAACTAAAAAGACGTGGCACCCAAAAGGAGCAGGCTGAATTGAAGGATGTGTGTATATATGTATATGTATACATATATATATATATATCTATGCATGTAGGTATAAACATACATTGCCGCCAATATGTGGGTAAGCTGAACGCATTGAAGTGGAGCGCCTGCGTCTCATTCATCATGTACTTCCTTTGGGGTGTAGGTTGCTGAAGCCCACAGAAGAGACAAGCAATAGCCAAAGCTGCACAAGACTTCTTTGGGCGCTTTCGACCCACACGTTATCGTTATTGGGGTTTCGCTATATCGTTCTGCAATGTTTCGGGCACTGATGTGTTTGTGTCAAGGAAGGGGGGGAAGGGGGAAGAGAAAGAATGGAAGCAGAGAGCAGAGGAAGAGGAACCAGGAGGAAGAGAAACGAAGAAGGATGGGGAGGAAGGGAGAAAGGCCCGAGCAGAAGGCAGGAAGGCAGGAAGGGAAGGCAGGAAGGGTGTAGATGCTGCACCTCCCCACAAGTTGCATGACATGCTCCTTGACGCTTGTTCCAGACCGGCCCGCGCGCTGACTGACCATCACCGTTTGCGCTTTTCGGGTGTCGTTCAGGTATCGTTCAGGGTATCGTCCAGACAGCCCATGCTCGCCCCGCGCCCTGGACTGCTGTCAGGCGACTTGGTAATTCGCACCGGCCCGACCCACGGCAGTCTATTTGCCGCATCTGCAGAGAACCACAAGGATAGAGCGCGTCCCAAACAGCGTTCGCCACGCCTCCAATCTCGGAGCACCCTGCATAGACAAAATGCACCATCACAGTGGACGCAACTTTTGTGCTGCCCAAGTAGTTGCGCAGTTGGATCAAGACATAGCTGAAGTGAAGGATGTGTATACATCTGTATATTATATATGATTTTATATAATACCCGTATACATACATATATATGTATACGTACATGTATGCACATGCACTGCCGCCGATTTTGGATTTGGGTAAGTTGAAGGCACTAAAGTGGAGCGCCTGCCTCTCATTCATGTCGTTCCTTAGCGAAACCATTGTCAGCTGTGTAGTTTGCCTTTGCGAGCTGAAGCCCGCAGAAGAGACAAGCAATCGCTAAAGCTGCACGAGATGTTTTCACGCCACTCCAGAAGGGGCCGCCAAAACATATTTCTATCTCTTTGTCTCTCTCTTTATTTATAGAAATATATATTCTTACATGCATGCATACATATTATACATATACGACATATATATATATATATATATATGTAACACATGGAGAAAGAGCGCGGCAGAGAGAGAGAGAGAGAGATAGAGATAGAGAGAGCGCGAGAGAGAGAGAGAGAGAGAGAGAGAGAGAGAAGGAGATGCAACTCCTACTGAATTTCACGTTGCAAGCTTTCTGGCGACATGTGTCCATGGTGGAGCACCCTGTGCAGTGGATTTCCGAGGCATCCGTTCTGGGCTGTCCAGTTTCTTCAAGGCCACGGAATCGGTCCTTGCGTGCCGAAGCCGGCCACTGGCTTATTGGCTGTATCAAAAGGTGCATTTTTTATTATTATTTTTCGGGGACCCCAAATCGTTGTTTTTGGCTTGTGGTCTCCTTCAAAGCCACTGAAAAGGAGTACGCTCCAAAAACGACACACCCATCTGGCTTGCTTGGCTACTCCTTTACTTGCTGTTGCAACTTTCCAAGTTGGGGTCTTGTGGTGCTTTGCCCCGTTCCGAATGCAGTCCATCATCCAAGGGCGGCGGTTTTGTCATTCGGAGGCCCTTGGTTGCATCGCCTGATTTCTTGTTCGTGACTTGCCTCCCTCTGGATGTGGATGGTGGATGGTGGATTCTTGTGCCAAGTCAAACATTTGGAGTCTCTGGTGCAAATAGAACTAATCAACACATCAGAGAGGTGCTCGGAGTCTGGCAGGTGGCCCCATTTCAGAAATCACGCAAGCTGCCAAAGAAGGGCTGGGAAGACTGATTTCACTTCCATGGTTTCATTGTTGGAACTGGTGCATGTTGTGCATCCACGTTACCCTAGAAACTGTCACTGGAACACCCAGGACTCATCCCTGAGACGACGGATGAAGGTGATTGGTGCAAAAATCAAGACATCTGGGCCACAACGACCTCAGGGGAGCCGTGCGATGCCCATGAAGGTCGCCTTCTTGAAGGTGAATCATTGTAAGTCACCCAGGTCAATCTGCTTGACTCCAACAAGCCTGTGGCTGGCACCCTGGGAAACGCCAGGAATCGTCCATAGAACGTGACGATTTCCATGGACATCGCATGCACGCCCTTGAATGAGCGAATATCCGCGTGACCCTCACATCAGCAGCTACAGCCATATTCATCATGACACAGCCGAACTCAAGTTGCATCGCCCGCTACTGAGAGCGCGCCCGCTCCTCCAGCCCCAGCAGCAGCAGAGAGGACACAACGGATATCCTCGGCCGAAATATCTCGGTGAGGCGTTTTCGGTGTTGGTTTCCACTTTGGTCGTTGGGTCTCGTGCAAAATACATGTTTTGATTTGGTACGAGTCTTGGTCTTGAATGGGTTGTTGAGTCTCTTTCGGCATGACTTCAAGGGGAAAGGAGAAGGAAGCCGCTTGGAGCGGTCTTTGCTATTGAGCAACACCCGACTGCTACAACGCGTCTTCATCTGGCAGTCCCATTCAGGTCATTACGCCCCCTTGTAGTTTTCTGAGGTGTTGGTTTGGAATGATTGTTTTCGTCGAGACAGGCTCACTCGCCAATTCTGTGCTGGTTTGCCGGTGGCTTCGGGCTATTTTTTTGGACCCTGTTAGATTTGCCAATTTCCAGCAAAATGGCGTCATCTTTTGGAGAAGCAAGAGGAAGTCGAGCAGACGTTGGCGGGTTGCCTTCGCGTAGGATTTGCCCCCAAGGCTTGCCGTCAAGTTGTCCTAAAGTGTCAGACCATCTGTTGGTTGTTCTTTCTTCTGACTTCAAGTAAAATCCACCTAGAGGAATTGGCAAGCTTCATGCAAAGCTTGAGTACCTGTCCTGGCCAGCAAAGCTAGGTGGGTGTCCCGACAGCAAGGCTTTAGCAAAAGTTCGAGCTTCTTCACTGCAGGTCAGCGTCCTTTGGAAAAAGCCAAGGTCTGGGTTCAAGGTACGCTCGCCCTTGACTTCGCCCCCGCGCCAAAAAGAGCAAACCAACCAACACACATTCTACGGGGTTGTCACCATGCCATTGGCTTGGTCCCTTTCTTGACGTCCCATGGTAGGCCTCCAAGGGAGAGAGGGCAGGTAGCGGCAGCTTCGGGCCGGGACCCCGGCGGTGCTTGGTTTTTGGTGTTTTTTTCTCTTATCTGCCCAAAAGGCGACCGAACCCTGGGTGAAACACCCGTCTCCGCTTCCGGTGTCCTAAGTCACCCAAGGGTCCACCAAAAAGAGAGAGCACCTGACTCAAACTTCCGAGGTTTCCGGTCCATTCCTTGCCTTTCCAGGCTTGAAATTTGAGCCAACTTATGCCGGAGCCCGCCTTGACTTGTATGCGGTTCGCCAGCCTACATAGGTGGCTTACCAGACACTTTTGCTCTAAAATCCATACTTGATCAAGTTGAATACCCCCAAAACGAAAATAAACAAAGGCTGAAGGCTTCCTTCAAACAGGGGACACCCCCAATCAACCAGCCTGGGGTTGGTGGATCCTAGGTCAGCACTACGAATCTAATCATCGCTTTTCTGCCAATCAGAAGATCAGGAAGGGTTCCTGCTGTTTCCTTCAACACTCTATGCCAGAAGGAGCCACGTTTTTTGACGCTCTCAGTTCAGGGGTTCCTTCTGGTTTCCTTGAAGACCCCGAAAGCCCACAGAGGGGTCACGAGTTTGACAAATCCCCATAGCTCACTCCCTGAGTTCTTGGACTGGCGGTCTGTTGGGAAGACCATTTTAGTGCCTGCCACGAATGTTGTTGACGTTGTTTTGGCAAACACACTCGATCTGTGAGACGGGAGCCGTGTTGATATGCGCAAAGTCATAGCACTTGAGGTACATGACTTCCCTACATGAGCCCCCTTTGAAGCTACTGGTTTCTTTGGTCTCTCCTTCTGAGCCAGGTTGCTTTGCATTCTCTTTGTACCCTAACATGGAAGCTCCCGAACGGAGCCCGAAATGGACGACTTGGCAACCCATTTACAGGAGCCTTCTGACAGCTTCCGGCTGCTTCCCCCTGAGGGTGGTCAATGCGGGGGTGGCCATGGGCGGCAGTGTGGTGGCCGGGATGCCCGGAGCGAAACCATCCGGCTCCCTTGAAGCGAGCGCCCGCAAGATTCCCAAGGGGTAGGTGGTTCGACCTGGTCTTTTCCGTATGGTTTTGGTAGTGCAGTTGTTCAGTTGCCATCTGTACATATCGTGACATCTTGCATGGGTTCTAGCAAGGCACATATACGCCTTTGTGACTATGTAGAACCCAAAGTCCATGGGGCCCTTGGCCAAGAATGGGTGGAGCCTCAGAATTGTGAGGAAATAGCAAGGAACACTTTGATAAGACCCTTATCCCATTGAACTCGATCGTCAAGCACAGGCATTTTGCCAAGCTTGTGACCCCTCCGGTGAGTGTCATAAGGGGTTCTCAAAGTTGGTATTCCAGGGATTTGAACCCATTTTCGGTTGGCTTGAAGGGATCCAGCTGGGGTCTCCTAGTTTTGAGACAAGCTCCCTTGGGGCGTGAACTTTGAGTCGATGCGTTGCTAGGGAAGCTATTTCTAGCTTACGGACCTGGAAACGTGCTCCGCATTTGAGCATTGTGATTGTCCGTCAGAGTCACCGAGGTTTTGTTTCCATCTGTATGGGGTGACCTTGTGAAGGCCATGGGGGGAGATATCCGTTGCTCAGATATGTTGGGAACAACATAACTGGTCCCAGACCCTTTGACGCTCTGCCGGTCCATGGCTGAGCCTCAACTGTTCGAAACTGTTCAATATGCGTGGTCCCGTGACCACCCACCACGACCCCCCCCCCCGTTTTGATGCCTCCCTTGGATCTGAGGGCCGTTTTGTTGTGAGGCGATCAAGACCCTCAAAGAGTCGACCAAGCCAGAGGCGGTCTACTCCGAGGCCGGAGCTGGAGTTCTTCGTTTCCTTGGCTCAGATTTATATGGGGGCAAAAACACGCAGAATCTGAGCAAGCTTTCTTTTGTGTATAGACCGGGCAAAGTGTAGTTTGGTTTCAACAATTCTGAGCAAAATCATCCCAGCTCGCCTAAGAAGACCTTTGAACCTTTGGATCTGCGTTTGGCCGCAGGTCGAAACTTTGCATTCCACACCTCGTTATGGCAAGCTGGGTATGCTTTGCTTTTCACCCCGACCGGTGATCATGACGGGTTCGGGACAAACCTAAGGTGGTGAAATGAGTCTTGGAACTTCGAATCCACCAGGGCTAGAGCCACATGCCACGACCATTGGGAGCTTTGGCCTCAGGTGTGTGCATCAAGGCGCATTCAACATCCTTTGACCAGCGCCAGTCTTTTGGAAGTCGGTTTCAAGGAGCAGGGTGCTAGGCAAATGGTTAGCGATGGTACGACCCACTTGCCATGGTTGCATGTCCCCGTGGATGGTAACCAGGGCTATTAACCAAAATCCCCCTATGGAGCCTCACTGGGTCCATACCGTTTTCCTCCAAAACGGGGCATTTGGCGGTTCCATGCGAGTGCCCTGCAGGTAGAGATGCTCGTGCGGGCACAAGGCGCCGACTCAGCGGACGCGGCCACGTCGGTGTGCCCCGATTTGTTGGGTAACTTTCGCATCTGATTCAATACGACCCAGCCTAGCGTCCAATGCGTCAAGGGACCCCTTCGCCAGTGTATGTTAACGGGGAATCAGAGGGAGGACCGACCGCCTGTGCGGTGATCATCGTTTTTGTTTTCAGACACATCCCTAATTAGGTGTGTCCTTTTTGGTGGCACCCCAAAGGACACCACAAATTAAATCACCAATTTGGGGTTCCCGACATAAAGACAAACCCATACAGGGTGGCAGGTTTTGTTTGCTGTGAGTGAAGCACGCTAGTTGGCACATGTGAGGATGCATTTTGGGGCAGAGGTGTCCTTTGTGGACAGCTGGCACAAACCAGCAGCCCCACATTGCATGTTCGACAGGGAGGCACAGTTTCTTCATCTGACAAGAAACTGGAAGCACAGACCGTGTGTGGCACCTAAGATCCGCGTACAAACTCAGCGGGGCCAGGTCTCCGAGATCGAAAGCGACAAAGAATGGCCCCTGGCTGCCTGACTCTCACCCCCCCCCCCCGCCCCCGAAAACAGCCCCAAAAACAACAGCCATACCTTCCAAAACAGGCCCATTCCCAGCTTGTACAAAAAATGGACAAGATGGCGCGGCAAATGGAGGTCGCAAACCTCGGGGCTGTCATGGGACCGAAAGCGAAAGCGCAACTCCCCAGGCCACGCGAATGTGGCGAACTTTCGAGGCGCCTTCTGCGAAGCAGATGCTGGGCCGGGGAGCCCAGCGGAGCCCAGCGGAGCTTTTGGGCTTCTTCAAAGGTCCACAACTCCCAAATTGCTCACAAAATATGTTTGAACCTTTGAACCTTCTCCCCCTTTAAAACTTGCGCTGGAAATGTGCTTAGAACTGTCGGTTGTTTAAGAATATGCTTGAACATTTGATCCCCTGTAAACTTATCACTGGACATATGCTTGTTGTTTTCTGGGGGACTTATAAGCACATGGAGAACCAGATCCTTACCATGGGTTCCGAAAAGGTCCCTTTGGCGGGGGATTATGGATTGGGATTGGCCAACACTGCATGTTGAACAGCCCGGGCAGGGCACTTAGTGGGCGGTTGGCAACCATATGCTTATGACCCACTCACCATGTTTGCAAGTACCCAGAAGTGGGTTAGAGCCAGGGTGACCCCTCCAACCGTTGAAATGGTACGACGGATGCCCCTCTCAAACGCACACCTCTCAAACGCTAAACCAAGGGTTTCCTTGTTCAATGGGGGGCTGTTGGTCCATGCTTCTGATTTCCTTTGTGAGGAGCCTCCCGCCCGGACGTTTTGAGGGGCTTAGCTTGCATGGCAGTGCACTTGGTTCAGCTCGGATCAGCCCTGAAACGGATGATTTGCTTTTGGCCGATGGCTTGCCTCCGACATGCTTCCCATACGCCAGCACCTCCCCTCCCCCCCAGTTCAGCCGATGCGATCTCAGGAGCCTCCGCTGGAGTTTGATCTTTGCCGCGCGGCAAAGAAGTTCAGTGAATGACAGCGGGGGAAGTGAGCGACAGGAATGAACGGTAAAGAGAGGAAAGATGGATCCCTTCCCCATCTATCCACTGTTGATGATGGATAGGCTTGGAAGTGGATAGGGAAGGGAGATGGGCTATTTCGATATCTGTCTATCAGATGCCAAGGAAAGCATTCTCATAAAGACAACTTACCAAGCGAGGGGTTCACCCGATCAAACACTTCTGGATTGCGCTGATCATCTTTTTCGCCAGGGGTGCCCGAACCTTTGAATTGTTTTGTTTGGGGGGCAAGGGCTGTCCATTGAGCCGACAAAGCAAGGAATCTGTGTTCAGCTGTTGGCCAGTCTGGTTGCGGGGACCTGGATACACAAGCACACGCACACATATCAGGAAATCATCTTGGCGGAGCAACTGCACTTCTACAGGGCGCTGCTCGGATGGGCCTTTCTTTGATAAGCCACCACTGAGCAGGCATTTTCAGGGATCCACTATTTAAGCCATCTTTTGCTTGATTCGATAAGAGTTGCAATGGGCTCCGTCGCCGAGCGGCCATGTTTTGATTACCTTCAGGTGAACACATTCAAGGTATAGAGTGAACCAAGACGTGCACAATGCCATTCTCTTTTCCAGTTAAAGGCGGAAATATAGGCGCGTCATTGTTGTCAGGAGACCCACACAAATCGTGTTCTCCTTTCGGTTTCCCTTTTCAAGCCGCCAAAAAGCACTGTCAAAAAAAGGCACGCCCATACTTTAACACGATCAACTGCTGACCGAGGACTATTTTTCACACGGCGACCTCTACGACCGCGTCGCGGGGAAGAACCGAATGATGGAGAAAGAAGCCATGCAGGGGCTCCGATGCAACTCCCGTTTTCGGATGTTCTTTTGTTGATGTCTTTTTTTGGCTGCCAACCCTCAGTCTTGCTGGTTCTCTGCAGGAAATGAGGAGATGACCCCATTTTCTTGTGGTGGACCCCTGGCGTCATTCTAAAAACCCTAGGTCATTCCTGAGAACCAGCAAGCAATTGGTGGTTTGGATTTGAACTGATTCCTCGAAGCTGCCAAGTCAAACCCAACTAGAGGGAAGCTGGGTAGTTGGACCATATCTATTTTGCCA